TATTAAAAAGACCTCTAGTAGTGAAATTACGTTTTGATGTGGGGGCAAGAATCGAAGCGTCTATATTTATTTGGGAAGCACTCAATTTAATATTGAATATTTAATGTCAACGTGAAGAGAAGCATAAATTGATTTACCTTAAATTCATCCAATTCACATACTTTTTTCCACGAAGAAAACTTCTTTTTCATTCTTTTTATTGCCACCTTTTATATTAATGGAAAGTCAGAAAATAAAATTGAGGCGTTTAGTATCCAAAGTAAAAAAATAATTTATTAGTTCCTCTACGCTATGGGACTCGCACGTCATTGCCGAACGAACGAACCTTTACTGGAAATTTCTATGAAGTTAACTATCGATACAAGACTTATCAATTAAAATGAAGATAGAAACCCACCACTTTGGCCGTTTGTCTATGCTGGGCTTGCATAACTATCCCAGAAGAGCCATCACCCAACTCTTTTAAGGTACGGTAATTATCCATTACAATAATAATAGGTCCTCAAAGATTAGTTTTCTCTGCTCTCAGTACGTCACATCTATTTAAAAACAAAACGCAATTCATGGTATGTCACACTATTTGGACATTGTGTCAACACGTTTCTATAATTTGGTTAGCTTATTTTTGGACGCACATTCCAATGTTCTGGAAAACCAGAAACTATTGTTGTCTACCATAAATATCCTACTGTTACACACGCAAAGAGGGACATTTCTAATTTTAAATGACACGAGGGTTTTCATGCCGAGTTTTACGCTGTATCATACAGATTTATGCAATATACGTACAAATTAACGAACTTAGTTTTTTTTATGTAAAAAAAGTACTTTTAATTGGTTTAATTATTAATATTTGATCAGCAATCAATACGATATTGCATTGAAATCGATAATGTCTCACAAATTAATATATTAAAATTCAATCGCTCCTTTATAGTAATTTTAGACTCCCCTGTGATTCGCGCGAAATCTTTACATTTTTGGACGTTAAACAACTTCCGAATATTACTCTTATGGGTCAAATCAGAGTTTCAATTTTATTTTTGTAAACTATTTTGCCATGTGAATAAGGGAATTATTCTATTAAACATTAAATCTAATAATAGATGTATTGCATCTAATAATTCTTTTTATGCTTAATCGATTAGTATCAGGTATTACATACAGTATCTAAAAAACGATTATATTATAGCAGGAAATTTTTATTTTATAATTATATATTTTATATTGAAAAAATTTATTTAATCTAATAAAAAATTTTACTATCTATGAAAAATAAAAATAATAAAAAATAAATTAAAAATTAAAAAATTAAAAAATTTGATTAATTTTATTTTAATATAATATGATTATTGTTTATATGTTTTTTAATTATATTTAATGTTTTCAAAGATTTCATGTCGACCATCCTAAATATTAACAATAAAACTAGGGTGATAATAATAAAAATAGGTGAGTTTTTATAACAGGAAATATATACTAAGTATCTTTTATTTGCAGGTTTTACGAAAAAATTGTCATTTTGAAACTTGGTTAAAGAATGTGTGTGTACTTTCCAGGCAGAAGGTTGATTCAAGTATGCAAGTGATAGGGGATTACGAATAATCAACATTATTAATGTTAAGAAAGCAAAGAAGTATGCCTAAATCTCTGTATAAATAATCTTTAATTAAGTGAAAGAGGGTAGATAGTGAATTATAGCTAAAATGTAAACATTTAATTACATGCCAGGGATCTAGTTATTTCAATCCGAAACCTTCGCTTTCCATTATAGATCTCTTTAATTTCTCTTCCAACTTCTTTTTAGAGCTGTAGCGATACAGGCATAATTGGTTGAAACACGTATGTGCGATTGGGAATCTGGAAGGGTAATGGATTAGGTTTATTATTTCTTGATTTTGACAAAGACATTCAATAGATTGGACACGCTTAAAAATTCAGAGCACAGATCATTACCTTTCACAATCGTCCCCAATGCAAGAGATTTTAAATGACAAATTTGCGCATCCAGTTGCGGGAATCCTGTCTGTTCCTGTCACAAACGTAAGTAATTTACGCTGCATCATAGGATTCATAAGTTTGAAGATTGACCAGAAATTCTGGATAAATTTCTCATCCTCTCGAAAACCTTCATATATAGTAACTGCACGAAGTTGTTCAATTTCAAGAGGTTCTGCACTGCCTCGAACCAGTAGTTCAATTTCTTCTGGTTGGAAAAGCTGAGGTAACAAGTGAGAAGAATAAGTATTTTTTTTAAAAAAAAAAAATCCAAAAATGAATATCTCATCATCCGTCCAAGAAATTGAGTGACTTCATACCGATAATGCGTTTCCACCGCAAACATGATTAAACCCACGTTTGAATGGATCAAACTGTTTTGTTACTGATTCATTCAATATAAAATTGACGTATCTTCTAACATATTCTAGGAATGTAAAAAAATTCCATTTGGTAAATATCAAGCAAAAGTGAATTGGCATTCCTCACACCTAGAACGATTGACGCTAACCATCCCTGTTTTCATTTGTGACCGGTTTATTTTGTCCATTGGGTAACAGCGGAACCCGTTTCACTTCATCGAATACGACATATTCTCCAACAAAATCTCGGCAAAAAGTTGATTCCACATCACCCTCAAACGTAAGAAGTTGTTCCAATCCCCGTGCGAACGCCTATAAGGCAAATCATAATATTACGCACAATTAGCACAGTGATGAAAACAGACGGCATTCAATCCGAAACCAAAGTTTACCGGACGGAGGACTTTCAAATCTTCCAACGTAACCGGAATCCCAAACAACTTTTTATAGCATGCCAAGGGAAAATGTACATCCAATATAGTAGAGTTATAAATTGCGAGTCCTATGATTACTCCTACCAAGTAGTATTGGTCGCTGGTTTCAAAGCTTGCTGGATTGAACCAACACAACTTTGAATCTTCGTCCCATGTAAACATACCTTGAGGCACCGGACAAACAAAAGAGTTAGCGTAAAAATCGTGGAAACCGGTGAACATGAAAAATAAATATAAAACGCACCAAATTGTGGATCAAATAAATGCCTCACTAATAATAGGAACCATTCCTTTCGAAGGCCACCAGCATCTACCCCATCTTCACCAACGAATTCTATTCTTAATGACTTTTTGAGGTCCATTTCATTTGCTGCGATTTGAGTCAATGAATCTTCAATCAAATAATCTCTTCGGATTCTTAACACCAAATGTGGCAGCGTAATTCGTTTCTGGAGAATTAACGTGAAGAATGCTTCCTAAAGATAGAGACTAAACTAAGTCCATAAATTGACAGACTTTTATAATTTATAATTCTATTTCTAGAAAAGCGTTAAAGTGATGAACGTACCTGTGCTTTACCATCCATTTGCCTCTTCGCGTCAAATTCCATTATCTGCATTTTACCACCCATACTTATTAAAAACGGATATTGACAAAAGGCAAATTTTCTGGAAAGTAATGTATTTCAGAAATCAGCTAAAAAAATAATCAGGGCATACGAATCTCGACTAAAAGGAAAATATATATATATATATGATACGAACCCAGAACGTTGTTCCCATGTGTCGAAATCAGATATCAATGCAATATAATCTACCATTGTGTTGTAAAATTCTGAAAGAGATATTTTACTTTGCTGTTTGTTTGCCGCAACTGTAATTTAACAAAATCAAGTCGTAACGCAATATAAATTTGAGGATTCATGGATCATTCGAGATTAATAAGACGTACCAAAATTAATGCTCAAAACTGACATACAGAACATAAAACGTACATAACAACGCCATTACACGTGCTGCGGAACTAATCCGCCAATCTGTTTCATATGCTGGCGCGGAACCCGGACTGGCACTTCGTTGTTGTTTTGCTAATCTAAAAGTTATAAAAGAGTTAACAAGCTCCACGCGTTTTCGAAATATTGCCGTTGGATGCCTATAACCGGAATTGATATATAATGAGGATTAAATCATGTTTGTGTGTGATCAAGTGTCATCGAAGAGTGACAATGACAGACCGTGTAAACCAATTGACTAGAAAGTGATGAAGTTCGTTGCTTAAATTTGATAACAGGCCAAAAACCCTTTTTACAATATTATGATGATACTGTGATTCTTGAGGGTAGTTGTGTTGAGCAAGGAGTGGATTCTAATTTTTGAATCGGAATTTGTTGTTCAAAGTGAGGACTCGTTATACAGGTAAACAAGCATGACAAAACGTAGCGCGACCAAACCTCAAGAATTATCATTAGAAATTTGATGTCTTCTTTGCGTTTTAACATCCTTTGTTTGCGGTTAAAATGGAATTATATGAGTCTTTGGTAATTAACGAAAAAATGATTGCTAACGATATGCACCTGCCGGGACGTTTCAATATGGTTTCAATTGATTTCATCATTGCCCTTATGACACTCACAGGCTGAATAATAATGAATGTTGTGAGTGTTAAAACCACAGAATTCATCGTTTACATCAGCAAAGGATTTATTTATGATAATGTTATGTACCAGTTCTAATAAAATTCTATAAGCTTCCCTGACTTGCTCTAGTGAAACTCCACAGTCTTCTAGCGTGACAGGTCGTCCCTTTGTGATAAATAAGATTTAATTTCTAGCATTGATTGATTGAAATGTAAAATGAATGCTATCACAAATGCACCCTTACATTGCTGAAACTTTCATTCAATATTGACCAATTGGAGAATGTTTTCTGTACAGCCTGTTCCAACAAATCGTAATTTGGAGTACCTCGTTCACCATTGAGGTTTTCGCAAGTATTAATCAATGTTCGAATTCTGTCCAACGTCAGCGGAATCGTTTGTTCGGCTTAGGTTTTTTAAATTGTTATATATGTGTGAATGTTAAGAATTAATTCTGCCTAAAAGCCAAGACATATAACGTACTGCGCTGGTTGGAAGGCTTCAGGTCATTTATCGTTTGACAAACGGTACATCGAAAACATGATACAGAGTTGGGGAATTTCAAGTTACTACAAAATCGTGTTAAAAATGAGGTTACTTAGAGGTACATGATTGAAATCTCATATTTCCGTGAAATAAATGGTTACCTATTACAACACATGCACTTTCCAACCGTCTGTTGAATAAAACAAAAAGCAAGGTTAAGACTGCAGCCATATAGAAATGACTAAAAAATGGGTAGCATACCATTGTCATGTTCGATGGGGACGTGGAGTACTCTCCATTTGTGATGCCAGACGACATGGGATCATTCAGGATATTACCACTCGGTCCGGCCCCACCGAAAGCCGACGAAGCGGTTGATGTTCCAATACCCAAAGATCCCTTGGCACCAGAGCGTAAAGACATGTTTCCCGGGTATTTTTTATCCATGCGTTCAGAAATTAAAGATAGAAAGAAAGTTGTGTAAAGATTTAGTGCAGCCTAAAAAAATTGAATTTTCAAAGTCATATGACATCCTTTTTTGTGTTATCCCAACTATTAGTTACCCAAAATTACTAATTTACTGACCCATATGTTTCGTCATATGATCAACAGTGGCTTGCATCACTTGACCAAATAGGTCATTTTTTTACCTTTTATATATGCAAAATACGTGATTTTTCTTATTTAAAGCAAAATTTTTTGCTATATGAATTCTTTTTCTGGTATTAGCTGATAAAACCATATATCACAATTAACCATTATAAAAAAAGTTAACATTTTTTCTATATGAAAAATTATTCTCTGTTCCCTGGATTTCATAAAAATTAATTTAAAAAGTGATGGTTGACTGGAAACAAACACCTCCCTCCAGCATTTCACGCATTTTGAAGAATCAAATTACTATGGAAAAGAAAGAGGCATTGATTTTAGAGTAGGTGAAGAGAGGTTGACTTCTATAACTCACAAGGGATGATATTGTGATATGACATATATTTTACAAAGAGACGATGTTATTTCAATGTTGACCTAATCACATCTGAAAAAAAAAAAAGTGCAGAATGACATCAAAAGGTAAGCCAAACATACTACAAACTAGATTAATCATCATCATTTTCTGTATCCTCTTCCTGACTTTCTGCGTCTTCATTGGGAAATCGCGCTTGTTTTTTTACAACGGCCCATTCAGGTATATCACCTTCTGGATTCAAGTATCCGAAATCACGTTCTTTGTGGGTATCCAAAGTGTTGAGCCAATTCTGGAACCTGTACCCAAATGTTAGTGAACAGTTTGACATGATCAAAGTGGATAGGCGTTGTTAATGTAGTAATACACATGAAAATATTTACGTATTATCTCTATGCTCCTCTTCATAAATCTTGGAATATATATATTTCTCTTTGAACTCATCAATTTTTTCCTACGAATGTTGAATAAATATGAGTTGATCTTGATGCATGCACGAACAACCCACAAGATAATTGATTACCCGATATTTCTCAAAGTCTATCAATTCATTTCCATTGCTAACGCATTTCTTATTATACGATTTAAATACGGGCTATAAAAGGAATGATTATTAGAAAACCTCAATAAATGCATCATGAAATAACCAATAATAACGTGATGAGAGATGCCTGTTCTAGCAATAATCCAACCGCAGGTGCATTAGGTATGTTGATCTTGTTGAGACCAAAGGCTTTTGAAATAAGCGTAAGCGGGGTTCCAGTCCTGACCACCATAACCACTAAGGCTGATACATACATGACATGACATGACATATAGTTGAGAAGAAATTGTTTTCTTAAATAAGCAAGATCATAGTGAAAGTTTTGAAAGTACCTACCAACCATTTTCCGTATTTGATGCAACATAAACGATTGTCCGTGTACTTTGAGGCTTAGCCACTCGGTGTCCTTCACCATCTTTGGTTCGCTGACCTTAAATAATAACCGGTAAATTCGAGACGATGTACGACGACTAAATGCTGAAGATTCATATCACTTGACCGCAGTACCTCAAAATTGATGATAAATCGGTGACAACTTTTTTCGATGCTGGCGCGACCAATTGTAAAATTGTGATAATTATGGGTCCCCTCGTATTCTTTAAAACCCTGCCTCACCAAATTCAGTATCTCCGGAGATATCCGAAATTTGCGCTTTTCAAGCATTTCCTCGGCCGTGGCAACGGGCGCTTCGATTTTTTGCCAACTTGCCGTCCCCTCCGCTTGAAATTCCTCACTTTGATTTATTATGATTGAATTCGACTGCGAAATTTGCACGCTGGGTATTGTTTCATTAGGAATAAAGACATAGGTAGGAATGAGATATTCATATACGCGGGAGTCACAAAGCGTTTTCGCATGAAATGATCGAATGGTTCTGACATATCCTATTGAACATTCATTCATTCATTCATTCATGGTTATGAGTTTGATCTGGTAAACAAAAAGGCTTGATGAGTATGGCTTACCCCATAGACGTATTTGTTCGGGGAGATTTTCGTTGATCCTTTCAACTACGTCAGGAATATCGACAATCATGTAAAATAAAAAAACATATATATCCCATAAATTATAATTTCCAAGTATATAAAATATTTTCGGTAATCAGAATTAATACTTATTTTTATCGATATTATGTTTCCGGCAGCGTGCACTCCCTTGTCGGTTCTCGCCGCGCGCATTAAACTTACCTACCAATTCATCATCATCACTTACACATTATTCCACAACACGGAGATTGACAATTAACCGAATTCACACTCACCTTCTTTGGATCATCAGAATTATCTCTTGATACAGCACCGGCGGCGACAAGAGCTTTGAACACTTCGTCTTCAATGGTCTTTGCATTACGGTTTCTAATCGATAAAGAGATTATGGTTGGTTGCACTGAAACTATTTCAAGCCTACGGTCAAGTGAGACCTACATTTGCATTCCTTGATAGCCTGTACCGCAGAAACCCAATAGAATTGCCACCTTCTTCTTTGGTTTTCTGGGTTCCTTTGCTTGTTCCTCAACAGGGATTCCACTACTGATTTGATCATTGTCCACGTCTTCTCTTAATTCCTCGTCCCTATTTTGCGAGCTATTATCTCGAGCCCGATTTCCATTTCGATTTTTAAAGTTTCTAAATTTATGCTCTCGCTTATCCTTATTTGTGGTAAATCGTTTCTTTCTTGTTCCAACATCGTCAGCAGTTTGATTTTTTTCCTCGAGTTGTGAGGGGTCAGTATTTTTTGTGAAATTCCTTTTTTTCGGAGATCGCACTTTTTAATTTTTTTAAAAAAGAGTTAAAGATGTTGCTCGTTTAAGTTTTACATGTACCATAGATCTTACTTATATCTGAAATTGAATGTTGACCAGGCAATGCCATTGTGTTTATTATAATCGAAAGGTTTTTCCGCTTGTAAATTTGAAATTTTCCGCAAAGAGCACGTATTATCATTTTCATGAGATGCAAGCTTTTATGCGTGGTTCGAAATCTCAAATCTTCACGTGATTTTAATAATAACGTCTGATGAGAAGTTACAAAAAAAATTTTTTTTTTTTTCGGGTAAGCATTAATTTTCTTTTAGAGCCGATGCATACAGTCACACCTGGATATAACGAACCTGTTTATTAATGAAGTTATAATAAAATGTTGATGCTAACGAAATTTTGAATTTTGAATTTACTCAAAATTCATTATAACACGGGGAATTTGATTATATGAATTTTTAAACAAGTTTTTTTTTTTCAATTTTCACTAATTAGCCCCGAAGCCTTCGTTCTATCCAGGTTTGACTGTATATGTTATTTATACAATTAAATAGTAATAAAAAATAAATAATAATAATAAATAATAATAAATAATAATAATAATAATAATTGTTTTTTTAAATACTTTTTTTTTTTTAAAAAAAAAAAAATCAATATAATGATCATTAAATATTAAATTCAAAAAAATCTATTTTGATGGTATAAAATTTTTTTTTGTTTAACATAACTTTCGCAAGTACAAGTACAGCACATTATATAAAAATTTTCGAATATTCAATTTCTTCGAATCCAAACCATTTGCCTAAACCCATTTCTTTCTAATCAATTAATTAAATATAATATAAACATTTCAAATTCAAAGTCTAACAAAAGAATAAAAAATAACTTAATTTAATAATGCGACATAGAGATAGACGTAATCATTTTAATTAGCAAATTCTGATTCAAGGTGTCGACGCACTATAATCTAATGATTTCTAATACGCAGATATTTTATACAAGTACATAAATTATATATGTACATTCTTTGTATATCAGATTATCGGTTTTAATTGATGATAATGATGAATATTGCATAGCAAGTATGACGATTTTATTCATTATTATAATATTTTTTCATTTTTTCAATGAGTTACTTAATTATACGATACTTTCAATCCAGAATAAGGAACCATTAATATTGTTCGGGCGAATTAATTTGTTCTTATCAATGAACATTATCCAAACATTTCGTTAGCTCTGTTTTTATCTTTTGAGTAACAATGTTCAAAAAATACCCATTGATTGCCGTAATCATCCAAATTCTGACGTCAAAGAAGACTGTCGCGAGTAGCACGAGCACAACGGCTCCACCATTATTATATTGCTGCATTAAAGAATGCACGCGAGTTATTTGATAATTATGATGCGTTCGATGCATGTCCAACATGGGTTAGCACTACGTTCACGGATTGTTTCTTTGGTTGCAAACCTAGAAATCTTGCACATCATTTCAGTTCATTTAAAAACCAAAATTTCCACAGCAAAACCGGTGTAATTTCAAAGAAATTTAATCTGCATCATAAAGTAACCCAATAGAATACAGAATAAAGAAAGTATATGGGATGAAGAATGATGCATGATATGTAAAAGAGGCGCCACGAAAGATTATTATCGATATCGGAAGCATTGTGGGATGATCTTCAGAGATATTGAAGGTCAGGTGATTTCGAAAAAGGTTGATCAAAGATGGTGGTTCGACTTTGTGATGTTCGAAGCTTGACTTTTATTACCTAGTGTGAAAATCTTGACATTACTGGTTGGCAATGTGAGTAGGAAGACTTTATAAGAGCTTTGCAAATTTGACAGACGTCATCAACTATATTATTGAAAAAAGGAATATTAAGGAGAGTGCGGGGTACGCCTTTTGCATTCAGTCGGAATTCCGACGTTCCGAAATACTGTATCATCTCACCCATCCTACCAAATCGATTCAATGCGACTAATTCACATACGTGCAGATACGGCACGATCAATATCATCAAATTCATCATCATCCAAGGCATCCTTATCATCGTCATCATCATCGTCATCATCCTCCTCCCTTTCGTCATCACCAACCTCGTCGTCTTCGTCGTCCTCACCCATTACTCTGACCTCCCTATATTCACCATGCATTGATGGAACTTTTTCGATCTTCTTTGAGGCTTCATTGTTGATGCTTTGATTGGCGTTGTCGCCGTCAACATCCCTCGACGCGATCCTCACTTGGTCTTCTTTCAACAGTTCTTCTATTATCTGCGAACACGCCAGTTCACACAGAAATGTAATTACGAAAGCCACGAACATTACGATCAGGATAAAAACTAGACCCATCATTTCTGTATTAGAAAAAAAATATATGTATATTGATGACGAGATATTTCTCGACCGTTGGTACCGGGGTGGGAGCGCAATTGGATGCGTAGTAATAATACTGTGAACCTTGCAAATGTTCTTTGAGGATAAGGTTTGTTAGTCAGGCACTTCCCAATCACAATAAGAGGATTTTAAAGAAAACCTACTTCCTTTTTTTCCACCCCCAAAATTGTTCGTTGTTGACAGGAATAATTGGCTTGGGGAAGTTCGTCGTCGAAGATCAAAGAGACGGTTTTTTTGAAAATTACATACTTTATACTTTGCCATGTACGTCACTAGCTGGTTTCAAAAAACGGATCGTATCACTGCTGTCACATGATCACTGCGTCGTTACGAATCCTTTCTAGTTCTTCTCATTCGCCAATTCGATTCTGGTGACGAACAATAATTAATTAATTCCCATGATACTAGGTTTTCGATTACATGAAACCGATTTGCCTCAAATGTAAGTGATTCTAATTTTAAGCTAACATGTGGTGATAGAATACTTTTGGAGAAACTTCTTTTTTAACATCTGCATAAAGACGTTTCGTTGCTTAAAGATGAGACGCTCATTCACACTGACGGTGGCACTGTGTCAAATTCCCAATCACAGTATGAACCGTTGTGCACCCTCTTTAAAGATCAATGATATAGTTAATGTATTCAATTCCGTTTACATCTAATTCGTGAACCCATTGCAATTTCCTTACCATTTCTGTGGCGATCTCTTGAAATGACACCGAAAATTCTCTTATCTGCTAAAGAAAACAACAACAAACAAATATCCAAAGTTATTGCATAACAAATTCTAATTTAAGGCTCATGAAAATTTCAAGTAATAGAAAATGGTAAGCATTCAAGGGGATGCATATTTTTTTTCTTCTCGTCATGCGTAATTTCATTAATGCTCAACTCTGTCGAGGCTACTTTGACTCGCAAATAATTTCGGCCTGCTGGAAATATTATACATATTTGGCATGGCTGATTTTTGTGCGTGCCATCACAGTTTTTTTGCATTCGAATAACTGGATTTTTAAGTAGTGATGAACGGAAAATTCAAGAGATTCTGGGGTTATTGTACACAAGTTTGTCCAAATAAAAACACTTGTCCTCTTATTGCGGGCCCTCGTTTCTTCCAGCTTTCTTACTTACCTGCAAGCTGCGTCATATTTTTACTTTAAATATGTAGTGTATGTATGCAAGTATAAACGCCTTTACAGTATACCATTTCGCAGTTAACGAAAATGTTTTATTGGCTGGAAAAACATCTCCGCAAATCAATTACACGTCCTTTTCTCCGAAAAACTGCCTTTTTGAGTGTTTGTCATTATTACAACATTACAAAAAAGTCTTGCCGATCAATTTCCTACTAATTCCCACATTACGTTTACCTTACGCCTTATTTCCCATCCTAATAATTTCTCAATTTTTTTTTCCCATCAACTCGTTAATACCCGACCTTCCTCTGAAATACCTTGTGATCCTTATGCTGTATCCGTTTGTGAGGCTTTGATGTCCTGGAGGTGATTAGTTCGAAGGAGAACGCCACAAAGAAGGCAATTGCTGCGGTAAGAAACGGGAACACCAATTCCAAGTTTTCCATTATTAGCGATGTCACTTTATGACCAAGGTCGATTGTTGCGCTGAAAAGATGATCTTTTGCGGTGTAAAATGTGTTCAAGGATTAAAAACGAGAGATTTGTTTGTCGATAATATATTCTCTCAGAGAGAACTTTCAAATATACTATATATATATATGTTTATTTATTCTTGTTTTTTTTTGTTTGCTGAGTCACAAATTTCGTTTGTGATCTCGATGAGGGATCAAAGCCTTGGCCGGTTAGTTTTTTTTTTTTAAAAAAAAAGTCGATGTGGTCAGAGACGACGAATTCGCAGGTCAAGAAAGAGAACGAGATCTATTGTGTGTGCAGCCTGGGAAATCCGTGATATTTATAATCACCATGTGTGTGAGCTAACAATATAATTTATACATCTAAGGAATAATCCAATATGCGTGTGATTCTCTTCGAAGGTTTTTTTATCCGGACCCCATAATTCATTAACCCTGAAATTTTACAATCACACCACGTGCACTGCGCAGCAATATTATCAATAACGTATATTGTGGTGTGCTCTATGCCTATAGTCAGAAAATGACAATGAGGGCGGATGACTTAAGCAGATCGAAATGTGCAGCTGTGTTGAAAAAATTTTATTTACCGGTTTATGCCGTGCTCTAAAAAAAAAAAAAAAAAAAAAAAAAAAAAAAAGTTTTGGGAAACGAAATTTAATTCGTCATCCAGAAAGAGACTTCTTTTCTCGATGATCACGTTGTGCCCCTGAAAAAGTGATCGTTTTCGAAAAACAATTCCTACCCTGATGGTCAATTAATATACAATGTCTCGATAAAGTAACTTCGATGACATATTTTCCATGTGACCATCGCACCCAGATTCTCATCAAGCTCTTCTTTTGAATCCATATGCAGGTGTTCCGGACGTAATATTTGTTATTTGTGAGACCACGTTTTTTTTTAATATCATGCATGCTTGTGTAGATATATGATGTGGTAAAAAAATGGAATTTTTGGGAGTAAAAACGAACACCAATGTACTGTAAATGCGTAGATGTTAAAATGTCTTTCATTGTTATTTTTTATTATATGTCATAAAAAAAAAAAAAGGTAACGAGGCCCTCAAAGAGAAAGAAACGTATGCATGTTTGACAGGAATTCGGTGGTGCAACGAAAGACAGGAAGCGCAAAGGATGTTAGGTCACTGTCACTTCAGTCCAAATCAATAAGGTCAACCCCTTTCATCTCGTATGTCAGCCGCGCACGTTCATTCTTTTTAAAGATGGATCTCGCCGAAATGTATTTCGGATGGGATGTGTACTATTATTATTATTATTATTATATATTATCGTGAAAAGGAAAATGATAATTCGCAGTTTGTTAGGCAGACTAGAGAATTGGGTAAGGGAGTTGTAAACATTGTGTACCTCGGGATCTCTATCGGTTTGTCGGAGACATCGCTTACACATCAAAGCCTCATTGCTTAGGTCAAAGACGCCTTCCAACCGTTTGAATAGGGTGACCACTTGATCGCCATTTCCTTCATTCGCTTTCGCCAGCGGTCTCTTGGAGAGCCTGGATTTCGCAAGTTTCAAGTATATCTCATGTTTTGGGTGTTGGCAGTGCCGCTGCGGCTTCGGAGTCGAAGCATTTTCCTGACGCTTCAACCTCTTATTTGCCTTAATGACGTTTACGGTCTCCTTTGGTTTCACGGAGTTCTTGTTGGTGCGCTTTGGTGGGTCAGTCTCTTTGGTCCTTGTGGTGGGATTTGCATACTCTTCGCTAGAATCATCGGGAGAAAGTGGTCGCTTAAGTAAACGAGATGATGGCGAAGACGAAATTCCTCCTTCGATGGCATCGTTGATGATTTCGGTGGTGATTTTTTGTTCCATCATTGTCCTCGTCGAAAACCGGGAGTGATGATACAGAATGATCGATGCAATGTTCGCCTGAAAACCTTAGAGGAAATGAATATTTCAAAGCTTAAGTGAGAAAGATGGGGTAAGTTGATAACGATCATGTTAAGGAAAGTCCAGGAATCTCGTAAGGAAGATAATCCAGTAAAAAAAAACCCACCTGGTTACGAATTCTCAAAAGAATCGCCTAGCAAAAAAAAAAAAAAAAATTTTTTTTCCTACTCACCTTGGAATAACGAAAAAGGGAGAGAGAATAGTGCGGAAAAAATCAAAAAGTAAAACAATAACAACCAACGTATTTATTGAAATTATTTGAAATTTACAATTTTTAATCTTAACACATACGTACTGGTGGTGCTTTCACGTGAATTTCACATGATAATTGGTTATATCATTTCTCCTGGATAAAATGGAATTGCTGCGTTTGACTTGCAAGACATTGCTCGTTTTATTGATGTTTTTGGAATGAATCCGAAAATGCTGATTTATGTAAACTTTTTCCACCCTTGCGAATTCGTGCAGTATATTTGCATACACAAATTGTAGAGGGTGAATACGCGAATTTCATGTGACGTGTTAATTCAAATTGATCACATCAACGAGAGGTGCATTCGTATATACCGTACTATTGATCTTGATAAATGCAACCATTTCTTCACACACATTATCCGTAACATCGCGAGCAAGAATCCACGTGATACCATTCGCGATGCGCATAATCGTGCAACGTCGCACTCAACCTCGTTCTGCGTAATCTTCATTCTCTTGGAACACAGAAAACTTGCCCTATCAAAGGGAACTTTGTGTGCATTGGAAAATTTTTCGCGGAATTATGGAAGCTCTTTTTCAGGGGGATGAGTGTTGATGGACCAATCATTCTGTCAACGGGCGAATGTTTGGTGTTCTTCAAATGAATTCTATTTTTTGCAAAGACGTTTGATTAACTTGAATGAATCCCCTTTGCATTGTTATTTTCTTGTAAGAATTGGGAAATGTCACTACAAAAATGTGGGATATATATTTTATGTGACATCCGTCGTTCATCAACCAATGAATCCCTGAACTGGTGTTTGGGTCTTTGTCTTGCATCTCTTTCAAATCTTAGTTAAGACAATGGATTTTATCATCATTCACCAGTTTTTAAATCCATCTGTTATTTTTTCCATGAACAAATGGGCGTTTTTGCACCAGCCCGATAAGGAACTAATAGGACGCTTTTAAAGGATCTTCACACAAAATGGATTCACAATTTAACTTCGGGCTGCATTGTCCGAGATAGCGAATCTCCAATAAGGAAAACTTTATCGGTTCACAGTGCATTATCCATTTTTACCATTTCTGATTAATTCTGGGATAATATTGAACATTTCGAGAAACGTGAATGTGATATGTGAGACTTCCAATTCAACTTCCCAATTCGTGCAGCAAGTGAGCGTGACTGGAACGCAGCATGTTTGAGTAAATGACGGTCCAAGCACATGAACTTCGATAGTTCCGGTCACTTAATATGTTTTGCCTCATATCCGGAGTTTTCAAGATGCATCGATGATACGATGATGTATTTGAAGTTATTTTTCCGTCTGACCGTTACTCAATTACAGGTGACACACATACAGTATGATGTGCAGTGTGTATGATCTAATGACTTTACCAAAATAGGTCTATTCTAAAAATAATGAATTCACTAATTTCTACATGTTTTGGTTACCTAATTTTTTTAAAGTTTTCCACCTGTGCGTCATCAACGAGTACCGCACGTATCTCTTGGGTTTTTCGACACGGAATTGAGACTCCTTGTTACAATTTGTTACCGTAAACAAAATCCAGATTTATCTTACGCTGTAAGCTTAAAAATGAAAGTAACAATTATGCAATTGAATTGAGATCAATGTTTGTCCCACACAAGCAACGTTTTCCCTCTATAAACATCCGTGATTTATTTGTCGTCTTTGTTTTCTACCCCACATGGTTCAACGCATGATTTTTTAATTTTGCTTTCGGAGTAAACGTATAATTCGAATTCCGTCCAGGAAATAATAAATATAAATAGTAACGCTTGAATATTTTCAGAAATAACCATAATTAACTTAACCTTCCCTTTTTTTTCAAAAACACCATGACAGCGAGTGCATCAAGTAAAAGAATTCCTATAACTTCCTACATAAGACAGAATGACAACGTATCTTTCTCGTTCGCTCAAAATAAGGACACCTTTCAGTCTGGAATTCTCGGCAACGAGGACACCTATTTGGAGGGAACGCTGCATTTAGATTACGAAAAACCGACTCAGATCAATAGAATCGTCCTCAATTTAAAAGGAGAGGAAAAAACCAAATCATACGAGAACCAAACGCTTTACACCGGCGCCAAACTTCTAGTTAACCGAAACTATTGCATTCAGGATGAAGAGAAAACGATCACGCAATTAGACGTTCCGTTCAAGGTTTCACTTCCTCACGGCCTACCAGAATCCGTCACCATTTATGACGACTCTGGAGAGGAAATTGGAGGAATCAATTACGTGCTTGGCGTTATCGTTGAACGTAAAGGGTTTCTCAAGACGACGCAAAAAGTAAAAATCAGATGCCCACTGAAAAAGACGCTAATTATGAATACAACAGCCTACCAACTATGCGGAAACTGGGGAAATTTGTTAAATTATTCTTTGGAGCTACCTCAGAACAACACGTTTGCTATCAACTCTTCTGTTTCCATACCGATAAAACTAAGGCTTTTTCGTTCGGGAATCAGCATTGAAAAGGTTGACGTCACCCTAAAGACATTTGTTAATTTCTCGTTCAGCATACCGCGCAGGGTCTCACGTAAGATCAAAGAAATTACCGTAGCGTCGACGACGGTACCACGTCACGAGCTTCAGGAAAATTATGGCAATAGGGAATACAGTCTAGCCGCGGAGCTAGATATTCCACCTGGTACAAAACCCACTAATACACGTCCCGGAACTTTAATCCAAATCATTCATCAATTGTGTATAAAATGTCACCTGCGGGGAGCAACCGATTTTGTGTTAAAAGAACTTATAACCATTGCAAATATTCGACAACCTCTTGGCTTCGCAAAAACCTTCCAAAAGCATGTTCCACTGTCTTTATCTTCGGATGAACCTAACAAAGCTGTACGAGGGGAAGAAGACGATTACATCTACGTGTACGATCAAAATAACGAACAGTTTTACAGTTATGGAATTTCGTCAGGATCTGAATTAGAATAACTGTATTTCTATAATACCATTAAATTAATTTCTTGATATGTATACTCGCCGGATTATTGCGTAGGTCGGAATTCTCTGCTACGCCATCCCTTTCTTTGTACGCGTATTTACGTAACCCTGCATTTGAAACCATAGTTAAAGCATCGTGCGCAGCATTACCAAATTCCCGACGAGTTAATGTGTGACTACAAGTAGGGGCACCAGGAAAGCTCTTATTGCATGCACGCTTTCATTTCATTCATCTCCAATATTTCATCATAGTCAATTCAATTATTTATAGTAAAGAAAAAACCTTGTAAATAAAAATAGAAATAAATAGTTAGATAACAAAACGCATCGAATTCCACGGTAACAAGAATCCTTCCTATACACAATATCTGTCGCAGAAATGTTACGTTATATGCTATTATAGAATATGTCTTTGTTAGAATTACAGTATGAATAATTTTTATTTACTTAGTTAAGATTGAATATGCAGTAGAGAATATATACTAGATACTGTATGTAATACTGTACATATAGCATTAATTTATTCATTAGGCATAAATTTAAACTTGGAAAATAATAATAAATAAATAAATAACAATAAGCAATACACACAGTATTTTTGCATAATGTAATGTAAGCTGGAATGATATGTAAAAACTTGCTTTCTATTTATTTAACTAGGAAATGGAAACCCAAAGCTAATAAGTTTATTATTTTATTTTATCGTTAATTTAAAAAAATTAATAATCATGTGTTCACGTGCGGACGGACAGAATCACACGTGACCTATATTTAGCTTTGCTTCGGACAATAAATAAATAATGATTACATTTGAATGACGTAATTTTAACCACGCGTATTTTTTCAGATTATAACGCGTTCCTTCTATATCTGATATTTAGATCTTACGCACGATCTACGTGATCAATAGAATATCATGGAAATTTTTTTCATGAGAACTTTTAGATATATAAATGCTTTAGTTCGTAAAAAATTTTTCCACTCTTTTTCTTAAATACTTCCCAACCTTTCTTACAACCTTCCTTAAATACAGTACCTCGCAACTTTTCTTTAATACTTTATAACCTTAACTTTCTAATAACGCGCGATGGGTATATGAGGTCTTTATAACAACATATAAATAAGTCAACAATATCTTTAATAACACAACAACATGTAGCAAGTTAACGAAATCTACAAGAGCACAAGAGAAACAAGCAAGTGTAAGTTTAATGATTTGTTTTTCAAGTTAATAGGTAACAAAAAAGATAGGTCGAAGCAAGATTTTGACTAGCTATTTTTTGTTGCCGAACTGGGAATTTGAGACTCCCATTTCCGTGTCGTGTAACTGTATTCGAGGGAACAACGGTAGTAAGCTATCTTCCTATCACCCACGGTATGCGTGTA